GTGGAGCGAATGTAGGCTATAGCCTCTTCTCGTGACTTACCGCCTTCGCTAAAGCGAGAGAGGGGGTGGATGTCGGTGCTACCATCGAGAGGGTAGCTAAGAGGGCCCATGGTGAAGAGGCGGTAGCACATGCCGATACGAGGGAGGGTCAAGCCGTCGCTGATCCCCCACCAAATTTAGGAGTAGCCTTGCCCATCATCGAATTCGTCCCACCAACTTTGGAAGTGTTGGTTCATCTTGACCAACCGACTATTTTCGAAGGTAGTCATCTCTTTGTCCCTTCTCCTATTATCAAGTTGAAATTTACTGCTTTATATTTATCTCCACTAAATACAGGGACGACGGCTGTGATAGTTCTTGTTCCCTTAGATGGGGGAGAGGAAGAGGAGGAACTGCTCGATTATTCAAGTGGAGATGACCTTGCCTTTCGTCACTCTCCTAACATCGATTCGCTGGCTGAGGACTTGAAAATCCTAAGTTCTCTTCCCACTCAAATGTCGTTTGTCGCCACTCCACGTATTTCAGCTTGTTAACTCTTTACTTTTTGGAGTCCATTTTAGTAAATAAGGTAACTTTCCTTTTGTTTGGCAGGTGGTGTGAATTCCGATATTGTAGGGGAATGGAGCAGCTTGGCGGGAGCTGCTTGTGTAGGAGCACTATCTTCACCCTGACTGCATGCCATTGAGCAAGTGAATCCCCTCGTCGTGGTGGCGACGCCAACATGGGCGGAAGAAGAGGTGCTAGCTCATGAAAAGGCACCAAGTCAGAAGGAGGAGATGCCTATTCAACAAGGGGCGCCTATTCCGGAAGAGAAAGTACCGATTTAGGGAGAGGTGTTGAATCAATGGGAGGAGGCCTCAACCTAAGAGGAGGAACCGGTTGAAGAAGAGGCGCTAATCCATGAGGCTTTCACTTATAAAAATAGGCTTGGGATCGATTTCATCTCCCATGTTTATCCGAATCACCTTATCTTTCGTGGGTGGCTCACGTTGCTCGAAACGTGTATCCTATAAAATGTTAAGGCGTTTGATCCAAGGATCGCCAATCGATTTAATCAACTCTTTGTCATCTTCTTCGTTATCGTCTGGGTGACTAAATGAGGTCATGTTCATAGACAAGCCTTTGAAGATTGCACCAATGCTAACGTCGGAGTCGCATGATGATGTTCCGAATGAGTGGCCTTGACATAGACATTCGTTTTCTGAAGAGAGGGGTGTTGAAACGTAGCCTAATCCTCTCTCACTTTTATGATAATAATCAGGGGGTTTTCCTTCTGGAGTGAAAGACCAAATTAGTACTCGTCTTCCTTTCTTGAAGTTTAAACCTTTTGGGTTATTAAAGTCATAACCCATATTCTTTATCATACTGAGGGACTTGAACCCATAATGATGGAATTGTGGGATTCTGAGGTCTTCCTCTGAACTTCCCTGATTAGGTGGTCCAGGGTTGACTTTCCCAAAATAGATTGACTTTTGGTCTCTCTTCTTGGTTGGGACTATGAAGAAGGCTCTCCGGGCATCTTCCATTTCTTCGAATGTAGTGAAAAATGATTTGAGCTGCAGGCTAAGCGATGCTTCAGTATACAATGCATGTCATGGATCTGTTCCTGTGCTTGCATCAAAGGATACATCAGACAAGTAAGTCAAGTTGAAATTTTCATTAATATGCAACTCGCCCTCACACATCATTGTTGTCGAGCTCATTTTGGCTAATTACATTCAAACCTAATTCCCAAATACATTCTTCCTCAGATTCAGGCTCGGGTTCGTTGTCTGCTTCGTTACCGCTATCAGAATCTTCTTTTGGTTGCTTCTGTTCTTAGGATTCCAGGTAGAAAACTAAATCAGTGTGGTAGTTTTTCACACCCTTGAATGGTTATCCTTGGGCTATTAGGATTCTGACTTCTCCCTTGTCATCGACATACTTCATCACTTGATGAAGGGTAAACGGGACAATATGATTTGCATGAATCCAAGGTCATCCTAACAATAGATTATAGGATGTGTCCGCATCTATGATGTAGCAAGTCACTTCCGATTTGAGATCTCTAATTTGGCATCTGAGTTTGATCTTGCCCATAGGTCGTGTGTTGTTAGCGTTGAACCCAAAGATAGTGGTCTGTGTTGAGTTCAGCCGGTGCAGAGGAATCCCTAAGAACTGCATAACTTTCTATGGCATAATACCGAGGGCAAATCCTGGGTCAACTTGGACACAATTGATCTTCGAAGACCCAATATACCCTGTGTAGTATAAGGGTCGGTCATGCTTATGCTTGATTTGCATATCTTCTTGGGTGAACGATATGCAAGGCAGACTCCTTGTGGCTTGTAAACATTATGTGTAAGAAGATCATTCGGTAGCTTCTGGGATGACAGGAACTTGAGCAATAAAGCTCTCTGTATTCGTTAAAGCTTCAATTAGAGCCCTTCTCGTGGACTTGGACAGCCTCAAAAGCTCATAAAGAGTGATTCTGACAGGGATATTAGCTAGTTGCACCATGACATTGAAGTGAAAGGAAGCACTTGACCCTCCTACCTCTGATTGGAGGAGGTTCTTGTTATAACGAACTTCTTTCGGTTTCCCTTTATTAGTTGGCTTCTTGGGGAGGGAACCCCCTGCCTCTTCAGCTAGCTTTTCTGCTTCTTCGGTAGTTTGACCATACCTCTTCAAGTATGTCTTCCCTGACCTAGTGCCTGCTCCCGGGTTTGCTCCTTGCTCAGCCGCTAGAGCAATTTTCTCTTCCTCTGAGTCAGTGAGAGGGGCCAGATGTGCATCATCCTCATTCAGAGAGAGGCTAATCATATTAGAAGTTTTAGCCTTGTTTCTCTTCTTCTTTCCTGATACTCCGGTCCACTGCCGGTCATCAAGTAGATCAAGATAGACCTATATTATCTCTCCTTTCAGAATGGTAAAGGGTACCAATCCTTTGTCCTTTTGACCATGCGGGTCAATATTTTTCATGTGTAACTCTCCTTTAGGGATAGGAACAACACCATCCAGAGTTGCAACAGGTGGGAAATCTCCGAATTGGACCGATATTATGTTAGTAGACATTGTTTTCTATTATGGCCTCAGCTTAAGCACTTCAGCATCAATCAGAGCTTGTAAGATATCCTTGAAGATATAACATCTCTTTGTTGGATGTCCTAGCATTTTTATGGTACATGTAGTAGTTAGGGTCTTCCACCTTTCCTGCTTCTTCAGGTTTCTTAACTTCAGGAAGCTTCAACTTGTTATTTTTTCAGAAATAACTTGAAAAGAGTGATCACATGATCCTCTTTGAAGGAGTACTATGGCTCGATGCCTTGCCCTGCTTAGCAGGTGGTGATCGAGTGTTAGCTTCAGCAACCATAACATCTTTCCCCTTGGACGGGGAGCATTATTTTGGCCACGTTGCGCCGGTTGTCTTTGCTTGCCTTCCTCTTTAGCTTTAACCCTGGCAACGATTTCCTCAGCTTGTTCGCCTTAAGAGCCTAGTTGCTTCCACGAGCGGTATTCTATGACCCCCACCTGAGCTAAGAGACTGGTCTGTAAGTTGTGTTGACATGTTTTTACCAAAGTTGCTTGTGTCATACCTGTTGGGTATCAGAGAGCCATGCTTCGAAATCTTTCAACGAAGACTTTTATGGGTTCTCCTCTTCTTTGCTTTGTGACAAGAAGAGAATGGACCAAAACTTCTAAGTCGTCTTCGAAGAATCTGGCCAGAAATAATCTCTCTAGGTCTGCCCACTTCTGGATAGATCTTGCAGACAGTTTCATGAACCATTCAAAGGCAATCCCCTTGAGGGTGCTAATGAACAAACCAGTCAACACCGTGTCATTTGCTATCATATTCCCAGTTTGTGACTTAAAGTAATAGATATGACGATTGGAGGATCTCGTGCCATCAAAAGCCTGTAGGGTCGGGACCTTGAACTTTGGAGGATACGAGGCAGCATCCCATTCGGCAGGATAGGGCCTAACAACCCCCTCCTCTTGGCGTTCACTTCTATTTGTAATGGCATTGAGACGGGCTTCCAATTCCTCCATCTTAGTAGATTGAGGGTTTTGCTTATTTTTAGTTTCCTCCTTTTCTTCAGAGGAAGAACCTGTGTTGTGGGTTTCTTAGTCGGAAGCAATATTATCAATCACATTTTTCTTTCCCTTTGATGAAGACGATCTTTCCTTTTGGAAAGTCTTATGCCTGAGTGGGGAGTTTGCTCTTTGGGATTTAGTTTTGTCTGCAACAAGCTGGGCCATCATGTTTCGAAGTTCATTGATGGTCTCTTGTTGTGATCTGCGTATGGCTTGCTGCTTATCAAGTCTCTTTGTTAGATCTTCGGGGCCTCCTGCCATATAAGCGGAGCTCTCATGTTTAGCGGAGGAGCTAGAGGATTGAGACTCTGCGATAGCTGAATGTTCATCATCAGACTTCATCCCTCAATCTAGTCTTCAGTAGTTAATAGGGAGTCTGACTTCTTTTCGCATCCAAGTACGTAGGAAAATTGCATCAGATTCGTTCAAAGCCTCTTTCAAGCCATGGGGTTGATCCTCCTCTGACTCGTCAGAGCTAGGGATTGGTGACCTCCTCATTCCAATCACATTAGAAGTGGCTTCAAGGTACTCATCCTCTGAAGCCTTCTTCTTGTGGGAGCATCGTCTCTTGTATGGCATCTACGAGGTAACATTTGTTAATCGGTCGAACACCGATGGCTTGGTTGAATGTGAGCAGCACCGGCATCCTGAGAAGATCGCGAAAATTAATCATTCACATTGACATGAATGCGTGACTGGTTGAACCAGTCTTTCTCTTGATAACAACTCTCTCAAATCTGTTACATAGCTCTGAGAAGAGTTACTCATTGAAGGGGGGAATTGGATCGGCACCCCCTGTCTGTGGCTAGACGAGACAGGCTCTTGACAAACATAGATCTTGAATCTGTGTTGATCTCCTTGAACGCGATGGCTCACATTGCGTTTAACATTAGAAACGCGAGGGTCACGTTTTAACATTAAAACACATGGGTCGTGTGGAGGAGAGGAAACACAAAGGTCGCATTGAGGAGAGGAAACACAAAGGTCATGTTTTGGTTGAGCTATGTGGACCTGATACTTACACTCAACGTGGAGGTAGCCTCTATGCTCAGGCTTGGAAAAGCGAGGGCCTCGCTCTACATGGTCGTGAGATCTATGCTCCGACTGGGTAACACAGTATTAAGGTCTGTGTTCAGTGCAGACCTGAGGTCTGCATTCACTGCAGACCTGAGGTCTGCGTTCAGAGCAATCTTGAGGCCTGCATTCAGAGTAGTCTTGAGGTCTGCGTTCAGAGTAGTCTTGAGGTATGCATTCAGAGCAGTATTGAGGTCTGCGTTCAGAGCAGTCTTAAGGTCTGCGTTCAGAGCAGTCTTGAGGTCTACGTCTTGACTAAAAAACACTCCACTGAGGGCTACATTTGGTCTGTCTTTGACGAAGCTTGAGATTGGGCACACAAACGCAGAGCTCGTGCTCTAAAGTAGAGACGTAAAGCTTAGGGCTGCGTTTGAGGTCACAAACGTGAGGTTCGTGTAGATTAGAGAATCGGATCGCTTGGAGTTATGCTCGTCGATGGGATCTTCTTCTTTGATGAGTAGCATTCTTCTTGGCCTGTCTTAAGGCTTTTATAATGACGTCTTCCTCCGTAAAGATCAATTTCACCGCTTCAATGGGCCTTTTACTACCCAATACCTGCTATTTGGGCATGGATACATGATCTTCAACTCGATTGACGAGTTCCATTAGAGCTAAGTCTTCTCCTTCGGAGGAGGGACTGTCTGAACAGTCCAACCTAAGAAAGAGACTCTCCTCTGGCAGGTCGGCCATGGGTGGAGCTTTAGTCTCTTTAGAAATTTTACGGGCCCTACGCATAGCCTTGGAGCTAAGGGACCCGGAGGAGAGAAACTCCTCATAGTTGGCTTGGTCGAACTCCATGGTTAGAGTTTCAACAAAAGTCCTAATGAGTTGGGTGTCAGATTACGCTACTACTTCTTCATCGGTGAAAGAGCACGTCCCCAACGAAGTCGCTATTTTTTGTATGTGCGGGAAATTACGAGAAAATTGAGAATTAAATCTGTATTATTCTCTCTAACTGACTTAGAAAAAGAATTATTACAATCCTCTCAATATAACTTCTCTCTAACCGACTTAGAAAAAACTATAATTCTCTTTATCGGTTTTCCGATTTACAAAAGAGGGAAGGATGAAACCCTCCATTTGTTTAAAACTAGGTTCTTTCTTTATGGTGATGGGAGTTTAAATATTGTATCCCATTGACAATCCGAACACTTCAACTTCGTGGGACGTCGGTCTTCTCTTCTCGACTTGACGTCTTGAGAGAACTTGCAAGGTAAGTTTATAACTCTAGCCGAGTTTTGAGAACACTCTGTAAGAGTGTTAAGAACTTGCAAGACAAGTTCAGAATTCTATACGAGTTTGGGAAACTTGCTGGGCAAGTTGTGAACTCTAGGCGAGTTTGAAGGAAACTTGTTGAACAAGTTGGCAACTCTAGCCGAGTTTGAACTCCAAAGAAGAGTTGATTTCAGAGAGAAGATAAACCTCCAAGAGCACTAACCGAAATGGGTTTAAAGAGCAAGTCAAGAGCTCCAAGAATGCTCTAAGAAGCCTCTCCAAGAAGGCCCTCTTCTTCTCTTTCTTCTTTATTTTTCTTTTCTTCTGGCCCCCCTTTTTTCCTCTTTTTTTTTTGCTAGAGATCCAACCATATATATAGGGCAATCAGGGGGTAAGGCACCCTTAACTAGCCCTTAACTGTGCCCATACGTTGACAGGACAGTTTTGAAAATAGTTCCTAAGTCAAAAACGCAGGGGTCACGTTTTGGAGAAAAGGACGCAGGGTGAACCTTGTGTATGGGAACTAGAAGTGCATGGTGACCCCTGAGTTTGGGATCTGGAAGTGCATGGCGACCTCTGCATTTGGGATCTGGAACGCATGACGACCTCTGCATTTGAGATCTAGAAGCATATGACGACCCTGCGTTTGGGATCTAGAACGCATGGCGACCTCTGCATTTGAGATCTGGAAGCGCATGGCGACCTCTGCATTTGAGATCTGGAAGCGCATGACAACCCCTGTGTTTAGGATTTGGAACGCATGGCGACCTCTGCGTTTGGGATCTGGAAGCGCATGTCGACCACTGCGTTTGAGCTTGGCAATGCGGCGTGAACCCTGCGTTTTGCCTTGGAAGTGCAGGATGACTTCTGCGTTTGAGCTTCTGGGACACGGAAGAGGGCTTCCGCGTTTGGATTTGTAGAGATTGTCAATTGTAATATCTTTTCTTTGACTTTTGTGCAGATTGTCATCTCGTAATCTTTACATTTGGCCCTTGTGGAATGTGAGAGTCGTCAATTTGTAACTCTCGCACGTTGCTGTGAAAGTCTTCACATTGTAACTTTCATCGACTGTTACGGAAGTCGTCAGATTGTAACTTATGCTTGTTGATGTGAAGGATGCTAGATTGTATCTTTCATCATCTGTTGTTTTGTAGGGATCAACTATCTGCAGTAATTTTTAGACAACCTACAGTCAATGTGAGAGGCTCGAGATTGAAGTTATCTTCTAGCTTCGCCGAGAAGTAACGCCTTTCGAGTCGACCTCGTGAGGCGTCGAGTATGTCGTCGAGTGGGCTCGTTGCGAGTCGTCTTTTACAAAAGGGACGAAAAATACCGCCTTTCGAGTCGACATGAGGAAATATCGACTCGGCGAGTCGACTGAGTTATCACCCTTGCTGGTCTTTGGCAACTAACTTGATTGGGGTATTGCATGCAGATGTACACATATCCATTGCTTAGCAAAGGTTCACACTTAGGTGATTGGAAACATCATAACAATAAAATTACTGATATATTAGATTAACTATAATATAATATAATAAGCATGTTGATAATAACTATATATTAATTATATTTAATATATTATGTTAGATATTATATTAACGCTTCTCAAACTCAAAACCAAAACCCCAAACCCTCAAAACTCCTAAAATATGTTTTGAAATAAGTGTTGTGTTTTCATAATTTTTAAACGCATGGTGTTTTATTTTTAACAAACACACCATAAAAACAAATAAAACACCGTGATATCCAATAACAAAAAAGCGAATTACTCGGCCACAAAAGACGCTCCCCATTCAAAAACTATCGCGTGATATTCACGTGACGAAGAGTTATAAAACAATTAATTGAAGAAAAAAAATAACAAACGCCCAGCCAAAAAAGACGCTTCCCGTTCAAAAACTAACACGTGATATTCACGTGCCGACTGACAATCCTCCGTACCCACCATAAATCCCTCTCCCTCCGCTCCACTCCATCCCCATTCCCACCGTCATCGCCACCGATTACAAACCCTATCAAGCTTCCCCCAATCAAAAATGGCGGACGAAATCGGATCCCCAGCTCCAAAACCCTAACCCCAGCCCCAACCCCAAATCCCCATCATCAACCTCCTTCTCCCTCTCCCTCAACATCTGGCCTCCCACCCAGCGCACTCGCGACGCCGTCACCGCTCGCCTCGTAGAAACCCTAACCTGCCCCTCCTCCGTCCTCGCCAAGCGCTACGGCGTCCTCCCCGAGGCGGAAGCTGCCTCCGTCGCCGGCGAGATCGAGAAGGAGGCGTACGACGCGGCCGAATCCGCCTCCGACGAGGCCAAGGCGGCGTCGGTCGAGGGAGGGATCGAGATCTTGGAGATCTACTCCAAGGCGATCAGTAGGAAGATGCTGGAGTCTGTGAAGGCGAGGGGTGGGGTTCAGAACATGAGTCCGCCAGAGATTGAGAATCTGTCGGTGGAGGATGCGGAGAAGGAGTCTCGTGGCGGGGGGGGGGCGGGGGGCGGAGGCGGAGGCTCCGGCGGCTACTTAAGGCTGGGCGAGGGGTTTTGGTACTTTTCGAGTCCTTTCTTGATTTGATGGTTTCGTTGTTGTTGGATCTTGATTTGGATGGTTTGGTATTATATATAATTTAGTAATGTTGTGTTGGATTGGATGATTTGTTACGTTGAATTTGGTACTTGGGGTTTGGTATAAAATCTTATGCTATCTAACTTACTCTGGAACGTCTGGATGCTGAAATCTTAGTTTTTTTATAGTTGAAATTTGTGATGGTAGTTTGCAATAATTTGGGGGATTTGTTATAAATCAATGCTATTTTGGTTCATATTGCATTTTGTGGACATTTAGGAGGTTTCTCATTTGTAGAACAAGTCCTTAGAATGCGGGTATTAAGTCCTTTTCTTTGATATTGGAGTATTCTAGGGGCTGTTTCACAGTAGAATACATATTATTCTTCTAAATGTGAACATGCCCTATGGTATTTCAAGTGTTATTTTAGGTGTTCACAGTAGAATACATATTATTCTTCTCCGATGAGTCTACGAATGGTTAGATAATACAATTTCATGCCACAAAAAACATATCAGGAAATGCAACAAATCTAGTAGATGCCTTACAATCTTTTTTCAAGATCACCAAAGTATACCTTCCCATATCCTATGTATAGCAAGCAAATCTAGGAACCAATATATGTTCCTAAATCAAGAAGATCAAAAAAATATATTCCAAATTCAGCCCAGAACAAAAATTATACTCCAATTTTAAGAATGAAGACAGTAAATCACATTAACCCTCTTCACCAATATCCAGTTTTTCAAGAAACCTTCCCATCTATTAATTTCAATGAAAACCCCTTCATCTATCTAAAACTGATTGCATCACAAGTTTACTCTAGAGCTATCTAAAAACTGAAAACTTTGATAATTATCATAGATTAAGGGGTTTTCTTGTAAATTATCCGAAGTAATAAGAATCGTAAAATTCTTAATCTTGAATGAAGAACTACACTCCAATTTTCAGACAAAATCAACAATAATCATAGCATTCTTGATCACGCACAATCGATTTGTAGTCAAAAAATGAATTTCAAGCATAAATCACGAAAACAGAACCTATTCGAATTCTCATTCTGGCTACGGCCGAGTTCTTCATTGTGATCAATGTTCAAGCGATCCCAAACCGACCTTTTGCTCCCCTCCTCGATCTTACCTGATTACATTTCAGTGTTCGATCCGAATACCATTGCCGAATACCATTGCACCTATAGACTGCTACCGAAACAAGACCCATTTAAAAATTAGCACAAGTGAAGTAGTAAAGCAAAAATACCAGTAAAAAAGTTGAAGAGAGGCGGCACACTGCTTCTTGGCCTGGGCACAAGTGAGGCGGACGTTGTTCTCTTGTCCGCCATGGCCTCCAAGAAGTAAAGCTTTAATGGCTTGATGAGAGAGAGGGACAAGGAAGAAGAAAGAGAGAGAGGGGGGGTGACCAGGACGAGATGGCGGCAACAAAAAAAAAGTCCGAACCCTAGAATCGGGTTTTTCTGATCGAATGTGTACGGAGAGAGAAAATGGGTGTTTTCTCTCGTAATTAGCCTCAGGATCGCCAAAATTTTTTAGGGAAAAAAATCCTAGCTGGCTCATTTATTTTCTCACTTTCCTTTTTCTTTTTTGCAAACCAAACACCTGATTGTGAAGGAAAATATAAAAATTTTATTGTGTCAGTTTTTGAAGGGGGTCTTTTCTGCAGTTTTTGGACCAACCAAACAGGCCCCTACTCTTTCAACACTTTAAAAACAATGGGCACATTTAAATATTGTACATGTAACATGCTTACTATTTAATATATGTGTTATACTATGTGAATGTTGTCTCTAACATTTATTGTAATCTATAACTAGTAAAGTCGGGGGGTGAAGCAGTTAAATTTGCAGTTAAGATTAAGTTTTCAATAAACACTCTAGAGAAGGAAAATATTTTTCATGCCTCTTTTCTGTACTTCCATTTTAAGGAAGTGACATATTTTGCCTCTCTTTTCTCTTATATTAATCTCTAATATGCTTACTAAGTTGATGTTATGAATGTTTTTTTTAATATATCTTCCTGATGGGTTTCTATTCGTGTGTGCCCCTCTGAATATCATATATAGATATTAGTGACTCACTTGATATTCTCCATTTCTTGTTTATTACAATTAAATATCAAAAAAAGTATGGTAAGAAGGTAATCACGATCGACAAATTGCAATTTTGTTCTATCTTAACCTTCTAGCCACAAACCACCACTCATTCTTGTTAACCTAGTCACTTCATCCTTTACATTTTTGGATCATATCATGAAATGAAGTTTATCCTCACATTAGTAGTCACGGGAACAAGTTATTTTGTCGAAATTTAGTAGAAATATTGGAAATTTAAGCACGTAGTGAAGCTAGGAAGTTAAGGAGGAAGAACATGTAGATCAAGGTTTTAAAACACGGATTTATCATGTGTACGGTCCGAGAGCGAATAGCGTTTAATCGGATCATGCGCAGATTTGAATAACATATATATTCATAGTCATATATTAAAAACATATAAAAATCATGTAAAACAGAGATTAACCAAGAAAAAGACTAATACATGTGCAATTGAGCAATGATACGAGTACTTTAGATACTCACTTAAGCTATTAAACTAATAATAGAACAAGTTTAAGCACAAAAAGTTCTTCTCCTGCACCAATAACTGTGAATGTTAATGAAATAAATATGTGAAAGGAAGAGAACTATAAAGGTAATATGATAGCACTAGTAGATAAGAGCGTTTTTTCCAAAGGAGTACAGATAAGAGCTTGATAGTTTACTTTTTGGTTACTTTTGGTCAAAGATGACCTCTGATAAACATGTGGACATGTCCATTGATGGCTTAATAGTTTACTAGTGGACTGTGGGTTATCTAATGGTTACCAAGGATAATAACAAAGAGAGTTGGACGGTTGTTCTACTCCATTGAAAAAGTTAGAAATCACTTGGATTAGTACATATGGAAAAAACATTGACAAAGGGAATAGGAGACATCTGTCCTAAGCGCTAAAAAATTCAGAAAATGTGTAATTTTTTGCATAAGGGAGACAGTGACCCATACCGTAGTGACTTTCACATGTTCGCTTCGTTTTGAAGCAATGCACAAGTACTCATCCGAGTAATCGATCGAGTAATCCGTGTTTTTGAACACTGATGTAGATAGCGGTACCTGGTTAGGCATGGGCTCGTTGCTTATTGTTAGTGAATCTGAGCAAGCATGCCATTCTTATGAAATGTGTGTGAACGTATGATGGTTTGTATGGAAATAGATGGAAATAAATTTGCTGGCTTTGGAGCTATTACTTTTTGTTGGCAGAAAGGAATATAAAGTTGGATTTGGGTTTAGACATGATAGAAAAAATTTATTTTGTTGAAGTATTTGTTAGAAATTTGGATTTGATATCTATGCGACACAGAGAAGGGGTTGTAGAAAAATTGGAGTTGTACCTAGAGAATGTGATGGCCAATTATACAAATTAAAATGGTATTGGACAATATATTTAGAAGGACTTACTTATGATGCGCACTGTCAGCAACAGTGGTCATTGAAGGAAGAAAGAAAAATGAAGGTAAGGAACTAAGGAGGTGACTATTTGTTTGATATGGATGGAAGATGAAAAGGGTAATAGGAAAAAATGGTATCAATAATTAGAGGACGGCAAATGAATACATTGTTTTGAAGTTTGTCATTTGCTATAACTTTGTGCTTTTTATGCTTGTCAGAATTAACACAAAGAAAGAGCAGAAAGAATTAGTGCTAAGGACCAGTAGATGGCAAGAACAATGTGTTTGTCCTTGTTGTAAAGGAATCTTATAGATAGTGATGAGTGGACCAATTTAAATGTAAAAAGAAGGTTAGACTACCTCCTCGACGTCCTTTTTTCTTGAAGTCTATTAATAATTTAATAGAGAACCAAAAATGTGAATGTTGTCGCTTACTTCTTTAATCCAATTCACAAACCTAGGCCATTCAAATAGTGAGGGATATGCATCAGTGTGCAAGGAGGTGGAAGTTAAAAGTGAAGCATCCGACTATATTTTCTTTGTGAACAAGGTGACATATCGATGTATACAACATTCAAGCACAGTTTCATGAAATTTCGGACTGCTGCTTTTTTTCCAAATTAGTCCAGATTTCATGAAACTGTTCTTTGTGATATGATGATGGAAGGAATCGTTTTATCCAACGTATCATATGCGATTTACCATTTTGGAGATTTTTTTTTCTTTTAATTATAAACGAAGTTGAGAATTGAGCATCCCTTCTAATCATTGTTTTGATGGATTATAAATGTTTATCATTTAAAGAACTTACATATGAATTATAAATGTTTATCATTTAAAGAACTTACATATGAATTTTGTCATCTGGTTCCAAGAACAATTTTGGCGCAAGCATTAGCAGATGCATAGTTTGAATTAATCCTTACCTCGAGCCTTTTTTATTTGATACTATCAGATAAAGGTTGACGTCCCTTGACAGGTTTTTCAGGAGTGGTGCGTGAAAAGCCAAACTGTAGGAATTGCAATTAAGTATTGAGATGGTAGTCTTTTCCAGTCTAAATTTCTTCAGGGATACTTCTGATTGCGTTCTGCATCTGCTGCTCCTATATTAAAAAAAAAAAAAAAAAATCGGTTTGAGATGTCTTGGTTGTCATAAAATAATGACATCGGTGCTTAATGTTTCTTATCATGTCAAAGTCCAATGAAGCCAGTCTAATGTAGTATATGATGCTTCAATTTAACCTTAATGATGTCCATTGAAGAAATACCTGTTACAGGATCTATTCCTGGGCAAACAATTGTTTGTATGTATGCTGCATGAACGTGTTTAAGTACGTATAAGAGAAATATTTGGTTGGTTTTACTTTGAATATTGAATGATGCTTATTATTTGCGTAGTTTTTTTGTTTTTTGTTTTTGTATCTATGGTTATTGTTTATTTATTATGTTAATATGTTATTGTTATATACCAAAAAATTAGTTTATCATTTTGTGCCAAAAATGAAGTGTTGTTGCATGAAGGATTCATGAGCAAACAATATTCTGTAATTTCATTTTGTTTGAGCACTCTGTTATCAACAAAGGGGGAGGGAGAACTTGTGCATTGAAGTGTGAGAAAAAAGTTAGAAGCTGTCTTACGCTCATTTTTGTTGATCTCAAAATTTGGGTGCTAATTCATTCGTTTACGAGGGAAAAGAACTTACCAGTTTTGAAACTACATTTAGGCTTGGTTGGGTAGAGGAGGAACTAAAGTAAAGGGGGGGATAAAAAATCTTAAGTGCCTTGGGTAGGGTTTTATGATGGAGGATTTTCGGAAGGGAATGTAAAGGGAAGTGGAGTAGGGTTGGGGATAGCTTAAAATGAACTAAAAATGAGGAGAGAGAATAATCCCTCTAAATTTGAGGGATTAAGGAGAGAGAGAGAGAGAATGAACTACAAATTGAAGTGTTTTCTCTCTCCTTCCCTCCCACCAAACAAAAAATACAAGATGTATATACTTCTCTGCATTTCATTACACATCTTTTTTACCTTTTCTTCCCTCCTCGTACAACCTACCGGTCCATGCCATGGAGGGAGTCAAATAGCTTGTAAGTCATCCTTTTTACAAGGGTTAATTATAGGTAAACACCTAAAGTTTCTTTAAATTTCAAATAATAACCCAAGTTTTAAAACTTTATAGATAAATGTCCAAAGTTTCCACTGTTAAAAAAAATCCCACATGCAGTTATTACAAGCAATAAATGTACTGTTTGTAAATTATACTGTATCAAACTGGGGAGAAAGTTGTGGAACTATGTCAAATTTGGGGGGTAACACTTTCATATGACATGAGGATGCTGTCTGTAAATTACATCAAAAGGATAAAGATGGCACCAAATTAACACGTGACAAGCAAAAATTGAATATTCTTAGAATATTTTTACGGTCAACTAACGGTAGGCAGCAACGTTAAATAATTTAGAGATATTAAGGCTGCTTTTAGATACCATGATGTTTTAATTGTTTTCATGGTGTTTTTGCCAAAAATAAAACACCGTGTGTTTGGAAATCATAATGTTTTTTGAGCTAAATCATCCTCAAACCAAAAACACAATACTTATTTCAAAACACCTTTTAGGTGTTTTAAGTTTGGTGTTTTGGTTTTGAGTTTGAGAATGTGTTAATATAATATCTAACGTAATATATTAAATGTAATTAATATAGAGTTATTATCAACATGCTTATTATATTATATTATACTATACTATATTATAGTTAATTTAATATTTTAGTACTATTTTTTAGAAAATATAAAAATGTAATAAATAAAATTTCTTATATAATAATATAATAACATATTAAATACCAATATTTAATATGTTAATAATGTACTATATAATAAATAAATAATAAAAAATATAAATAAACTAATAGAAAATAATAAAAAATCATTGAAAATAAAGAATAATATAATAATATACTATACAATAGTATAATTGCTATGATATTATTAATTTTTAATAAATAAATTATATAATAGTAACATATTTAATAAAAACATAACAATATAATAATATTATTATAATAACATATTGTATAGTAAATGTAATATAATACATAAAATATTAATATATTATGTAATAAATAATATAATTTATTATAAAGTAAAATGACTTTTAATAACAAAATAATTTATTGCTAACAAATGTTAATGTAAAAATAATATATTCATAATATAATAATATTTATTAATAATAATATGTAATAATTATAATATAATATAACTTATTAAAATACAATATAATATTATAATACATTATACAATATTATATTGCATTATATTTTATACTTATAATACTATAATAATGTAAACTAAATATTATAACATTTTATTTGTAATATATTTTATTATGATTAATATATAATATATTAATAATATGTTTAATACTAATATTATAATGGGTCAAACTAGTGTTGACCAAAAATATTTAACATATTGTTTTGAAAATATTTTAAGGAAAAAACAAGTGTCTTTTTTTTATAAAAACACAACAAGTAAAACACCATGGTATCCAAACGAAGCCTAAGGTATTTAGATTTAGGATGTGGTAAGTTTGGATATTTATCTATAGGGTTTTAAAACTTGGGTACTCATGTGAAATTTTAGAGAAAATTTGGATACTTATTTGTAATTAACCCTTTTCAGATGTGATTTATTTAGACTTAATTACAGAAACCTTCATGAAATTAATTACCTCTCAACATTTTTACTATAACTTGAACATTTTTACTATAACTTTATCTATTAATCCCCATATTAGCATCATCTGTTGCGCGCCTTTGCGGAAGCGTGCTCGACAACCAAACAAGTCCGCGAGTCACGGGAGAAAATTAACAAACCAAACACGAGTGCAATCCAATCCAAAATACGACAAACCAATCGCAAACACAGAGATATACATGGTTTGACAATTTGCTTACGTCCACGAGGAGAGGATATGGAGATTTCACTATTTTGAGGAGAGTACAAAAGGGTTGCAATTACTCAAATACTCGAACAAACCCTAACTAATGATCTCTCAACTCGCTCACAAGTTCTCCATTTCAAAGTGCTCAGAATACTCTCTATTCTTTGATAAACCAAACCCTAAAATCGTGTTTCAATATATATCAAAACACAAACCAAATCAAAACAGGAAATAAAGCCCAGACCCAAACCCGACTAGCGGTCGACCGCGCCAAAGCTCACAGTCGACCGAACAGAACGACAGAAACCAAGAAAATCCATTACAAGGTCCGCGGTCGACCGGACCTAACATCGCGGTCGACCGGACCTAACATCGCGGTCGACCGACCAGAACTCTAGAAATTACCATGTACTCGTAAATGTTTGCGGTCGACCGCTCCAAAACTCGTGGTTGACCGGCAAGCACCCAAATGCCTGTCTGCTTCAAATTTCCTAAACTTTACCAATATTTTCGTCATTTTTAGAATTCTCCAATCGGTGAAGTTTTTTCAAAACTGAACCGACACCAATACTAAACAAACGTCCCACTTGTTGCATCCAGTACGAAGTGGAATAAATTCACGATAACGGACTCAATCTACAACAAGTCAAGAACCCAAACCGGTTGTATCAAAATGACTGCCTACGTACCCCCTCTCCCAATGGATCAAGCCCTCCGTAGTTCATACAAAATGACCATCAACAGCCTCAATAATCAGGAATGTGCAACAAGTTTCGACAATGATCAAACTTGTTGCTCGGAACCACCTTAGTGAGCATATCATCCGCATTATCCTTCGTGTGGACCATCACAATCTCCACATCACCATCTTCAAGAACATCTCGAACGAAATGATAACGAACGTCAATGTGCTTCGTCCTCGCATGAAAAACCTGATTCTTCGCCAAATAAATACCACACATGCTATCATAATGAATGGTGACGGACCGCTGCGAAATACCAAGTTCCTCCAAAAATCCCCGAATCCAAATAGTCTCCTTCACAGCCTCTGTAATCGCCATATACTCTGCCTCTGTCGTCGACAAATCCACCGTAGACTGTAAGGTGCATCTCCAGCACACCGGTGCATGGGTCAAAGTGAACGCATAACCCGTAGTAGACCGACGCTTATCCAAATCCCTGGCATAATTCGAATTAATGTAGCCAATGCATAACTGCCCACCTCTAGCGTCCTGCTCAAAACATAAACAAACATTGAGAGTACCTCGAATGTACCTCAAAATCCATCTCACGACGTCCCAATAACCCACTCCTAGATCGTGCATGTATCTCGAAACTATGCTCACTGCCTGTGACAAATCCGACCTCGTACATATCATTACGTACATCAAGCTCCCAACTGCACTAGCACATGTAGTCTTCGACATCAGCTCTCTATCTTTAACTGTCTTTGGTGAAAGGTCAGCTAAAAGTTTCAAATGGTCTCCCAAAGATACACTAACTGGCTTCGTATCCATGCTAACATTAAACCGTTGTAGAACTTTCTTCAAATAAGTCACTTGTGTCAAACAAATTCTGCCATTCTCTTTGTCTCTGTCGATCTCCATCCCCAAAATGTGCTCTGCCTCACCCAAATTCTTCATCTCAAACTCCTTTGAAAACTGAATCTTCAACTCATCTATAGCGGATCTGGAAATAGAAGCAAACAACATGTAATCAACATAAAGCAACAAATAAATGTACACACCTCCTTTCAACTTGCTAAAATACACACAAGGATCAAACTGGCTCCGAGTGTATGAATGACCAATCATGAAACTATCAAATCGCCTATACCACTGTCGAGGAGATTGCTTCAAACCGTATAGTGATTTCTTTAACCTACAAACCAACTTATCCTTCCCTGCTGCTCGGAATCCCAATGGTTGAGTCATATATATTTTTTCATCAAGATCACCATGAAGAAATGTCGTCTTCACATTTAACTGATCTAACTCCAAATCATACTGTTCCACCAAAGCTAGCAAAATCCGAATCGAAGAGTGTTTCACCACCGGAGAGAAAACCTTATTGTAATCAATACCTTCCTCCTGTGCATAGCCATTCGTAACCAACCTAGCTTTGAACCTCACTAGAATGCCTTCAATGCCCTCATTCTTCGTGTATACTCACTTGCAACCAATCGCCTTCCGCTCCTTTGGGTCAACAAGTTCTCATGTATCGTTCTTATGAAGAGACTCCATCTCCTCCTGCATAGCTACCTATCACGAATCAGCCTCCGAACTTTGCTCGGTCTCTCTGAAAGTAGCAGACACCAACTCATTGATACTCTCCATCGGAATTTCATACGCAACTACTGTGTCGGTATACCATGCTGGCATCCGTATGTCTCTCCTTTCTCTCCGAATCGTAATAGAATCCTG